GGCAAATGAATTGCCTAAGCCCACAGGTTCGAGACCCGCCCGGGCAACTTGGCGAGACCCTGTCTTTACAATAAATAAAAAATTAGCCGGGCGTGGTAGTGGTAGTGTGCCTCTTGTAGTTCCAGATACTTGGAAGGCTGAGGTGGAAGGATCACCTGAGCCCAGCAGGTCGAAGCTGGGGTGACCGTGAGCGTGCCACTGCACTCCAGCCTGGGTGACAGAGTGAGACTCCAGTTCAAAAAAAAAAAAGAAAAATCTTAACATAAAAAACATTCCAAGTATCTTTATTCTTCTGGTTTGCTTACTCATCTAAAAATGGGGATAACAGAACAACTGTCAGAACTACATATGATAATATGTGTGAAATCACCCCATAGGTGTGTAACAGAGTAACAGTGACTGTTTTAAGACCAAACATATTATTTTCTACTAAGATCCTATAATGAGGGTTAGGAAAGGTTAATCGGAAATAACTAATTGACTGCAAATACTTTAAGATGGAGCAGATTGTGTAGTCCTCAGCACAGTGGTTCTCCTCTCACTCTAGGCCCACAGGCAGCTGAAGGCTCCAGACCCTTTATAATTACGTGGGGAAACACGAGCCAGGTGTCTCACTTCTGGGATGGGCAGCACATTGCTGGTGGGAGACCCTCTCGCGTTCCCTTTCCCCGGCCACTGGAATGTGTAGTGCTCCCTTGTCCTGCCCTAAGAGCAAAGGACAGCCCTCAGCTGTCTGGTGGTGGACAAGCAGCATAAACAGAAATGAACCTTTGTCATTTTAAACCACTGAGATTCGGGGGTTGTATGTTACTGCAGCATAACATGGTCCTTCCTGACTGATCAACATTTTATGAAGTCATCATGTCTTCCCAGTAGTCCAGATCACATTACCACATAGTGGTTGTTATTCTGTTAAGTTTATCATATAATGCCTACTGAATTATGAGTTTATCAATGACCACTGAATCATGGTCTAAAACCCCTGAAATATGAAAAGATGCAGAAGCCAACTGAACAATAAAGATACTTTAAGCCAATCAAAGAGGGGAAGACATTATCTTCAACCTAGTTGTAGATGTAGATCCAAATCCCACTAGAAAATGTTCAAATAGGTTATAAAAAAATAACAATGCCATGGTCAACTACTTGTGAAACTCAACTCCAAGCTGAAAGGTAAATTGGTGTCCCTGTTGATGTAGTACAAAAACTAAAGTACAGAAAAGGCTGAGTGTGCTCACCTGAGAACATGCAGAATCATCCTCCAAGTATTTAGCACCTGGAGAGCATGTTCTCATCTCTGAACTCTAACTGTACCATGTCCTAAGAGCATTTGGCCCTCCCAAGATGGTAAATGTGCTCCCCTTAATTGGCTAAATTAAATGATTTCCCTAGAGTAGATACAGAAGTGTTTCATACTGATAAAGTCAACTGTAGAGACAAGTACAAGGATAATACTTTCAAATTAAGTCTAGGAATAAGCTTTATGATCACTATGATAATCTGTACACGTTTATATTTAAGATTCTTGAAACATTTAGCAAAATCTGACATATTAATCTTTTGATTTTCACTTTAAATGTGTAATTGTGATTCATTTGGGAATTTTTCACAAACAGTATTTGAAAACTTGAAAGCTCAAATTGCTCTGTGCAAGCTGAATATATTAGTTTCACAAGAGTTAACTTTAAAGGTTACATTAAAATTGCCTAAATGAGGCCCCTTGGAAAATTCATGAGAAGGAGATATTTTTACAAATCTATAAGGATAATGTAAAAAATGCTTAAGCTTTTAACTCTATGGGGATTTAATTAACCAAGTTTGTAAGTGAAGGTACTTCTAAGGGAATTTTATTTAATGCCCTTGAACATTAATTAAAAGCCATATAAATTCTTTCTATGTACAAAGCCTTCTTGGTACAAAAAAATAAAATGCCAAGATTGCCCTCTTTTTTCAAAATTAATGTTTGACTCAGTCCTTTTTTCTTTCAAGACAGTTTTAATGCCCTTAAGTTTTACTCACCAAATTAAAGTCATTATGGAGCTTCTTCCTGGCCCTAACCTAATGAAGACAATGGGGAGAGGGATAGGGGGAGATGGATTTTGTTTATCCTTCCCAGCTATCTCATCTCACTGCTACAAATGCAAGTGAGCGCAAAACATGCTCGGAACATGCCAACATGTCCTATGAGAAGCACAAAACTGCATTACACCCAAGAGCCACTCTTTCTGCATTCTTTCTTCACCTTCTCCTAAATCCAGGTGTCAGATTATATTATCAATTTCTATTCTATGGAAGACAGCGATAATAGTAAGCATCCAATAAAAGTCTGATTAATTGTAAGTAAATCCACTAATAATTAAGGTGTTTGTATAACTGCAAAACAAGGACATTTCACATCAGTTTTCTTAGCTTCCATTTAATCATACAGCTTCACTTCACTTAATCCAATCAAAAAATATTCTATTGGAAGGTGTATTAGTCTTCCATCTCATCAGGTAGCAGATATCATAGCAGTATTACAATAACTGAATGACTGGTATTTTAAAAAGCTCAAGCAGTTAAAAGTAATTCCCAAAGGTACCAGACTCCCAAAGAGCAAAAAAGATATCTGCTATACAGACAAAATACTGTCTCTGTAAAATATAGCTGAAGTCATATAAATAAGAGAATGTGTCTCTGGAAAAAATGAAATCAACAAGCAAATCAAAATAAATAACAAAAAGAATCATATTTATATAGTTTTAGGTTTTATTTTCATAATTATCTTCCTATACAAGCAATAATCTGTATTTGCATAACAAAACATTTTATATTCTACTCATCAAAGAGCTGAGTAAAGCACAGATTCCATACACAAATATCGTACTCTGCATATGTACAAATAAATTCCATATATTAAATATATTTTGTAGACTGACTTCACTTACAATGTAATAGAACATTGAATATTAGATTCTGAGCATGTTCATGCAGAAACTTACATTTTGGTAAAAGTGATGACACTAGAGCTCTGGAAAACAATTTTTCTTGTAAACATAAAGTTTTACACTTCTGACTGTAAAAGTCAGGATAAACGACTTATGTAAGTGGACAAAATAAATGGATAAATGCGAAAGAAATGTTCTTTACTAGACACTACATAGAATAGCCCTGACATCAAAGAAATGACCCCAAATCCTGCATATTCAATCTTAAACGTGGCAGGGAGTGTGAGGGAAGGTGTACTTGGACATAATCTTTTGTGTTGTTTGAAGCTCAGTTGCATTGCTGCTACAGAATGTACTGAATCGTTATGCGCTTTTTTTTTTTAAGTCTGCAGTATGTAAGAAGACTAAAAGTAAAAATTTTTTTCCAAGGCTGTAATGGGTAATGTGGTCTATAAAGAAGTTGACTAAAACATTTTTAAAGTATTGCCAAATCTGTTTTAACAGATTGCTACTTAGCTCAAACAAGCATTAATATATGACTCCAGAAGTTTCTGACTGAATTTAAATGACATAAACAGCAACTACGGACTCTTTCAAACATTAATGTCTTTAAATGCAAATGTCTAAGTACAGCTTTATTCAGATTTTTCAATTAATCTCAATGTAATTAATGCAAACAAGTTGCTTCCTACAGAACTATGCCAATAACTTAGGGAACGAAAACACTAAATTTATTAGTGTTTTGTATCAGACCTACAATAAAGATTGTATGCTAACATTCACACACCTCAGACTGTCTGCCAAAGGAGGATGTTATTCTGTCTAAGTTCTCTCACAGAACTAACTGCAACTAAACTTGCTTCTGATACTCTACCTTAGTGTTTCCAGAAAGTCTAGTAAAATAAGCATTCTATACACAAATAAGGTATGACTCTCAAAGAGATAGAGACAGGGCATGAATGAACAGGAAACTACTTTGGGCAGCTGGAGAATGCACGCTGCTGGTGTTTGCAGCCTCTTTGCAATGAACAGATTGTGAGATGGGTCTAAGACACAGAGGGAAAAAAAGGAATATTTCAAAAATAACATTTTTTGAAATAACTATAAAGGATTAATACATTGGCAGTGCAATGTTTTAAAATATGTATTTTTCAAAAACCATTCTTCCCTTTCAGGTAAGTTTTTTGTAGTATGCAGCATTTCCCATGCCAAAGTTAGGGTCTAGTGGTAACTCAAAATAAATTGTAAATTATTTTGGAGGGGAGAAATGTCTAAGTACTAGATTGAAGAAAACACAAACTCTTTCTCAGAATACATAAAAAAGGTATTCACGCCGGGCTCGGTGGCTCAGCCTGTAATCCCGCGCCTTTGGGAGGCTGAGGTGAGTGGATTGCCTGAGCCCACGGGATCGAGACCCGCCTGGGCAGCGAGACCTCATCTCTACAATAAATAAAAAAATCAGCCGGGCATGGTAGCGCATGCCTGTAATTCCGGCTACTTGGAAGGCTAAGGTGGAAGGATCGCCAGAGCCCAGCAGGTCGAGGCTGCGGTGGCCGGGAGTGGCCACTGCACACTAGTCTGGACGACAGAATGAGACTCAAAAAAAAAAGGTACTCACTAGCTCCCATTTGGTCAAGAACCAAGTAGGTCTGGAGAAAGTCACTGTATGTATGTTTTTTAGATGGAATAAAAAATACCCACACTTCAGAGAGGACTGAAGATATTTATAGAATCCCTTTAATATGCTACCTTTGAAATTTTGTAAACTCACATAAGTGCTTAAATGTATTTTTTATTGGATTAAATAATATTTTAAGGTTCAAAATAGCTTCCTGCTCCAATCTCATCTCTGAAAAGATTTGATAATTTAAAAGTACCTAATATCATGGGGGATAAATTTCCTCTTCAAAATAAAACAAATTTTTAAAATAATTTTTTACCAAACCTAACTTTTAGCAGCAATGATTAAATAAAATGTAAAAAAATTATCTAACAATAAATTACAAGAGCCCAAGAGAAAAGAATATCTATGCCTACTGCCTCTTTTGTTTAGAATATAATTTATCTAGAATTTGGCTTGTACATTGTAAAATCAGCTATACTAAAACTATTAAAATGTAACAGTACATTTTCTGTTAATTTCTGTGGCCTTAGAAGAGCTCTTATCATGGGGAAAAAATTCCTTCACAGGTAATAGATACAATGAGTGATTTGGGGAAAAAGTGACTAAAAATTAGTCTTTATTAGTATTCAAAATCATGACTGAAATGAAGTACAGATAGCCTTAAACCCTTAAACAAGTTCCAAGTCCATGAAATGGCATGTCAGGATTTCCCCTTACTTTTTGTCTTCTTTTCTGCAAGCAATGTACTAGCAGAGTCCTCCTGAATATTCATCTTCCTCTTCATCAGCAGCTGTGGCAGTGACACCATCAGGCTTGGCCTGTGGTGTCGCAGGTGATTTCTTCTTGACTCCCCCTCCTGGGACCATCAAACTCAGGCCCAGCTTAGCATACTGTCAATGACAAAACATGTTCTTAAAAGCTGGGTAACTGGAATCCTGATATGTGTTAGTTAGCTGTAAGACAGAGCATGGCTGTCCACCTTCATGAACACCAAAACCACAATTTGGACGGGAAAACAAAACAAGACAGTACTCTGTTGTCAGATGCCTCATGCCCATGACAAGACAGGTACATAACCAGGAAAAATATTAATTACAATATTATCTTCATTAAAATTTTAAAATATATACACAAATTTGCAAAAACCTATGTAAGAAGTCATCTAGAAAAAAATTGATTTCTCTACATACACCATTATAAAACAAATAAAAGTCTTACACTGATATGATACTATGACAATATTCTAAAGTCCTAAGACTAAAAACATGAATCTTCAGAAAAAGAGAAATGAGAAAAAATAGACACTTGTGGTCATGGCTGACTTTATGTGTAAGGCATCACGTGAGGCTACTTCTTACACACTAGGTATTCTTCACAACAATCCGGCAAGACAGGTACTAGTAGTTGCATTTTTACATGAGTTAACTGAGACTCAGAGAGAATTAATAACCTGCATCACACAGCTAGTCTTATTTCCACAGGTCTAACGAATTACAAAGGCCACTACACAGTGGGCTCTTTCAGATAGTAAACCTAGAAGAAACTTAATAAACTCAACAACTTATAGAGGACAAGATGGAAGGAGAAGCTGAGAAATGAGGTTGAATTGTAAAATTGCATGCAGAGTTAGATGGGTGCCTTCCAAATTATCTAAATCTATGGTGAAATTAAATGCAGGTGGTCAGTTTCTTTACAAGTAGTAGAAGAAGAAGAAAATGAGGTAGGAAATCTCCCATGTACATGGGAGAAAAAAATAATTGCACTAGAAGCCTCTTCTTTTCAAGAAGAAAGAAAGGTATCCAAACAGGCTCACTTACATCATTGTCCATGTACTTGAAAAGTGGCGAGTTGCAGACATCTGACACTTGATCTTGGTCTTGCTGGTCATAACCTTCAAGAAGCTGTTCAAGTGCAGCACAGTCCTCACTGCCACTGAACCCTGGTATACTACAGTAAGCACAAATCACACTGCTTCACCTGTTCCTTAAAAGAGAACATCTCAGCCAGGGATGACTCTGCCCCTGGCTGACACGTGACAATGCTTGCAGACATCTTAGTTGTTACAAGTGAGAGGGTACTACTGGCATCTAGTGGACAGAGACCAGGGTACTAAGCATCACCCAATGCCCAGGACAACCCCATAATAAAGAATTATCCAGTCCAAAAACGTAAACAACATGGAGATTAAGACTGATCATTTCAAACCCTCCTAACAACAACAACAACAACAAAAATCCCTTCTCTTAATCTTCCTACAACAATCTGAGAACTTGTTTTTCTTTTTTCTTACTCTTTTTTTCTTAGAAGACAAATAAAACAAAATGACTAAAGTCATTCACTTCCATGAAGGTCCCCAAGAGAAACACAGGGAAAGAAAAAGCTTGTAAAACTCCTACTGTGAAAGCTAAAATGGTAGTCAAGTGCTCCTAGCTCTATGAAAATTTATCAAAAAAAAAAAAGTTTCATGGCCAGGAACATTCATCCAAGAAGCAATCTTGGTTACAGAAACAGAAATGTCGACACTACAAGTCAAGAGGGACCAGACAGCGTCTTACCTGTAGCTCTCCCGGACACATCTTTCTGCAGCCACGTAGTCATTTCTGTGTAGGTGAACTAAGACTTGAGCAATTGTTTTCTACAATAAGAGGGGATCATGGTCAAACGTTTATCTATTAAATAAAGTCAATATTCTGGCAGTATTAAAAACACTCGAATTTAACTTTTAGAGTCTTGGTTTGCATTTAGAAAGATTTTCACATTTTGTAATAGCTTCCACAGGGGGCCTTAGGGAAATAACCTAGAACAGTACTTCTTAAACTACCACGTCCCAGGATTTGGTCACCACGAAGACTCTGAGTAGGCCTGAGGCGAGCCTGGGATTAGACCAGCTCTAACAAGCTCCCAGGTGGTACTGTTACGGCTGCTCCAAGGACCACACTTTGAAACCACAAGACTGAAAACACAACCATCATGTTTTGAAGATCATTTATTTCAAATATCTACCTAGATTTAATCTTGAAAAGGGAATAAAAATGAGGAACCCATAACTTCATAATTACACTTTGAAATTCTTAAAAAGATACTAAGAAAAAGATGTATGAAAGAAAACTTCAGATAACAGAAAGAATGACAGTTAACAGGGAAAACAGTTATAAGATCAAGGCAATAATTTAATCTTAATGGCAAAATAGCTCTTCAAAGTATTTTTCATTTTTAAAAATTTTTATTCTTTAGATAACTTTTGCTGATCTATCTTCGAGATCAATGAATCTTCCATCTGTCATCTCCATTATGAGATTAAGTCCTCCATATTTTTATTCCAGATAATGTATTTTCCAGTCTTAAAATTCCCATTTAGCTTACTTTTATAGTTCCTATAAATATAAATGATTTCTATAAAAAAACAATACTCTTTTCTATTCATTTCTATTGTGTTTACCTTTACCTCATGGAGCATTTATAATAGCTGCTTCTAAGTCTCCATGTGATAATGCCAATATCTGGGTCGTTCCAGGGTTGGTAATAGTTGTTTTCCTCCCAAAAACTGGTCCTGTTTTCCTGCTTCCTGCAAGTTGAGTATTGTACTGGCAATGTTCTGTTACACAACCTTTGCTATAATTCTCAGGAGTAAGGATGTTTTCAGCAGGCAATCTCCCCAGTTAGGTTCAGACTGCATGCAGCACTTCACTTTTGATGAGCAGTAGTCCTGATCTGAGTTCAAATTCTTTGCTGTGTGGCTTACTTGGGCTCATCCCAAGTAAGAGCCCTTTGGGAAGCAGTGTGAGATGTGGTCAGCAGTTTAATTCTTGAGTTCTCAAAGTTTTGCACTCCTACTTTGGGCCTGTCCCACATATGCCTAGCTGAAGAGTAAACCCAAGACTTCTGTGGGCCACACGCACACACTAAGGAGACTCCCTTTTCCAGTTCTCTCCTTTCTGAGATTTCTCCTTGCTTTCTACCTCATCTTCTGCATTCTTCTGGTTAGAGAGTCTGCAGAGTTAAATTCCTGCAGAGTTTTACCTGCCTGAGCCACCATCACAGCTATAGCTCCATGCCCAGGGCTCAACCTCAGAGCAAAGCCAAGGGAGAAAAATTAAAAAAAAAAAGTGAGAACTTTTTTCCCCAGTTAGGGTTAGAAAGACGGGGTTTCCTTTGGAGTTTTCACTGCTGAAGCTTCTGCTGCCCAACTACAAAACTAAGGCTTCTCTCAGGACAGTGCCGCAGGAAGTCACAGGAGAAAACTCAGAACTCACTCCCATGTCGGTTGTTTCTTCGAGTTTGCTCCCCTCTTCAATCTGTCTGCTTTTATTTACTTTTCAGAGTCCGGGGGAAAGTGCTTTCTGTATTTTTCTGGTAGTTTAATTGTAATTAGGAAAAGAGACAGGCTGCAGTGTGCTTACTCTATCTTGGTCAGGAACAGTGGCCCATAAAGTATTTTACAAAACCATATAAATATCCACAGAATCCTATCTCAGGTACTTATTTATACCAATATGAAAAATTATTTAATGCAAAGCCAAAAATGATCACTTTCAAAGAATACCTTATAACAAGTTGGATAATTCTCAATTTCCTTATAAATATTTTTTTCTTTCTGAATAGAAAGTGCCGCCTCATCAAACCTAAAAACAAAACAAAGAAATGTAAAACAAGGCAAGTCTAAAGGATCTATAGCAGAGGTCCTTGTGTAATGTGCTTGTTATTACAGATTTTAGAGAAACAAGGAGACAAGTCTTGTTAGAAACTCTCCATGACCCACGTTTCCATGAGTTCTGCTTGTCTCTTAAATGTCTGACTCCCCCTTTTAGACAGCAAGTCAATAGACAAAGCAAAAGAACTTGAAGATTAGTTAGTTCAAGTAAAGGATTTTAAGTCTGGTAAGGATTGACCATTCCTGTGCATCCATCCAACAAATTACTTTGTGAAATGACTAGACACTCCTTAATTTCATCACACAGATTTCTTTCCTTCTGACCTGAACACATCCAGACGCCCCCTCCCTACCCCCTGACTTATTCTCAACACCATGTACTCCCCTGCTGCCCTAGTGAATCCTAGCAAGTTTTGTGGCACCTAGGAGGGCAGCATGGCGGGGAAGCAAGTTGGAGACCTAAACAAAACCCTTCCTGCACCTTTGATCTTCAACATTCACCTTTTGCATCTACTCACAGTCATTTTCCTTTTCTTCCGTTCCACCGGATGGCAGAATGAAGATGAAAGAGAGGAAAGGGATCGCCAAAAAACGTCCCCCCAACCCTCAAAGTCCTTACTCCTTTCCTGCTCTCCCAGCCCTAACCCGCTCTCTCCATCAAACATTCATCAGATCCTCCTCTCTCTGTGAAGATGTGGCATACGCTGAATTCCTAGACTCCCTGAGTAGCACCTAATTCGGGACTGGATGACAACATGTGCAATCTTCAGTCATTTCTCTCAGCCTAAGACTCTGAATTCATGAGAGCAACTACCAGTGGCTTGGTATTGAGGATTCACACAACCCAAGAGCCAAAAAGGGCAAGAGGCTGCTCTGTTAGGTACCACAGAGGGAGAGAATTAGTGTTGCAATTCAAAATAAAAATTGAATTTTTATGAAATGCATGCTGGCAACTTAGTGCCTCATAAAATAACACTCAGAAATGCATAAAATAACACTGGAGAAATGCATTCTGAATTTGCAAAGATCAACTTGATACATTTTTGGAACAAAGTCAACTTGAAAGCTGAGTGTAGCAGCAGAATTCTAAGATTCTCACCCCCATATATATCCCCTCTATAATCTGCCTTTGAGTGTTGCTATGACCTCTGAATATGATGGGGCATCACTCCTGTGTTGAGGATACTAATCAGCTGACTGCATGGGCCTGACTTTAAAAAGTGAGGCCTTGAAGGACTGGGTCCTTCCTGAAGTCAGAGACTGGAAATGGAAAAGATGAGCTCCTGATGCATCGAATTAGCAGCAAACTGCCATGCTGTGAACCACGTATGGGGGCACACGCCCAGGAACTGAAGGCAGACTCTAGAGCTGAGAGGAGTCGCCGACTAATAGGCAACAAGAAAACAGGGATCTCTGTCACACAGCTGCAAAGAAATCTCTGTCTCCTGGTTGCCAACAATCAACGAGTCTGGAAAAAGACCCAAGTCTCAGGTGAGATCACAAGCCCATCCACACCTAGATTTCAGCCTGGTGAGACCCTGAGCAGAGGACCCAGCTACACTGTGTGCAGACTTCTGACCTAAACTGTGAGGTAATCAGTGAGTATTGTTTTAAGCTGCTAAGTCTGTGGTAATTTCTTATGTAGAAATAAAAAATTAATGCAAGGAGGGAGGATTACAGGTATTTATGACATCTGTAATTATAACCATGACCCTATCACAGATCCTGTTTTATAAAAATAAATTATATCTAAATATTCCACGTCCATAATGTCCAGATTATATCATTCTAACAAGAATCTCTGTTTTTCAAGATTTTCATATATTTAACTATAAATGGTGAATTATTCACACATTAATATTTCCTTGGCATAGTAATACCATTTCCATGTGCCGATACTGATCTAACAAATTCAGCTTAACTCTTTCAGTAGTCAAAGAAGTTGATCAACTTTGCTAAAAGCCCATGGAGCTGGCATATAGAGTCATCTGTTTTCAAATGTATCCAGGAAATTATTCATTACGTATTATAATAAAACACAGATGACTTCAACTTTCCCATCAGGCAATATTTAAAATATTTCTAATAAAATAACATGAATATGGTTTTGCTGAAGATAGAATAAATTATTTTTATCTTCTGTAATTCAAAAGGAGTTAAACCAATAAAACAAGGTGTAAACTTCACAGAAAAATTATGTGCATATGGCAGGAAATTGTCATACAATCCCATTAACCCCAAAGCTTTTAACGGACACCCTCCTCACCATGACTCAAACTCTTCCTCTGACCGCAACTATTTCCTAAACTCCAGAATATACTTTTAACTACTTACAAAAATTTTTGTTTGTCATATTCCCAGCTAAATTTATTACCATCACTTGTAAGCTTGTTTCTATAAATTCTTTATCTCAGCTATCCGTGGCGCCATGGCCAGGACAGTTGTGAAAGACAGAAATGCAGTGATTCCCCTCAATAACACATCCCTCTCAGAACACATGCATGCCCAGCCCTCCCTGTGTTTAGGATCTAGTGACTGTCTCAGCCGTTGGGAGAAGGAAGTCCTTTTCTTTGCTAAGTGAGTCTCACATGTGGGATTTGGGTTCACTGAAAGGAACACACACCATGTGTGCTCTGCTCTCCTGCCTCAGACCTTTTCCGAAAGACACAAAGATGTAAGCCTTTGGTCATGCTGAATTTGCTGGAAAAGCTTTTTCTAGGAGGGAACAAGGTTACTGGTCTTGGACTGACTTTAAGGCTATCCCAGAAGCTATCTAAATGAAATTCTGAATCACTGCTGAATAATGACTCTCTAGAACTGAAGGAAAATCAAGAGACAAGTATCCTTTTAGATTAACTTTGCTATAATAATACATAAACTAAGGTATTGTTTAGTTAGTACTAAACCTTACATCTCACACTAATGTAAAAATGTAAGGGTGTTAGCTAAATATAACAAGGATAAAATTTTAGATTTGATGCCACACACTCAATTAGTAGACATTACTTGTATAAAGTATAAAATTACCACCTTAGTTCTTTTAAGCAATTGATGAAACTAGATTATAATCTAAGTATAAGGTTAATATGTTCAAATATTGTATAAATTGCCTCAATTATCTTTCTATTAGTATAACCTCTCCATGTATTTCTTACCCTGCACTAATTAAGTTCCTGATAGAAATATCATAGCAGTAGACTTCTTTCATACCACAGGTATTCAGGGACACTTTTCAAAATATCAAATTCTTTCATATTCCTGAATAAATCTAAGTCAATATTTACACTGTTATACAATTTAAAAATATATGTCCTTAAAATTAATTTTTCTTCAAACACTGCAGAAAGCATCATTTTAAAATAATTTTTTTACTAAAACAAAAAAAAACAATAAAGCAAAATCATGAAGTGAAAGAAAGACCTAACTGGTTGCCCTATTTATAAATGTCCCCTTTCTAGCACATCCATGCAACATTCTCACTTCTGCTGCTCATTCAATGTGCACTCTCCCCTCCACTCATGCTGTCAAGAAAACTCAGTAATTGTTTTAGAACAATGGTTTTCATGACATGTGTCAAAACCAACTGATAATGTTTTCAGAAGGAAGGCTGCTACCACCCAAAGCTCTAAAGTAACACGTGCAGGCAGCTGGAAAATATTCCTCAACTGACCTCCTGGGAGAGATCCTGGCCACTCTCTCACCTTTGCTACTCCCCCTACAACACAGCTTTGGGTAATCTACAGCCTGGGAAACAAAGAAAAAGATATGGAAACCAAATACTTTAGGGCAGCTGAAGCACCGCGAACTCTCACACAAGGTTGTCCTTACCTTTGGTCCTATCTGCAACTTCACTTCTTCCACTTTCCATGGGGTCCTACAGAAAGGGGCCTAGCACTCTACAAAGGCACTGGGGGCCTTAATGGAAGACTACTAGGAGATGGAAGTGGGTGAGAAAAGGAAGCAGAGTATCCAGAACTTGTCTGCTGTCTGCCCTGTAATGACACTATTCCCTGTCAAGGACACCATTCCCTGTCAAGGACACCATTACTTGTCTCTACAAGGGACCCCTGTTCACAAGAGTCAGAATCTAGGTAATACCTTACAGATCAGCTATTCTGCAACAGCCTGGGAGCCATCTCTAGAAACAGCTTTAATTCTTTAACAAAAACTGGCAGATACTAAACTGAACTACCTAAAAGTTGGGAATTGTCAGAGTTGGCATTTCAGTTGTTCTGATTTCTGAGACGCAATGAGTAATAAAATGAATAAAGGTAATAACACAGCACTGATTTATAAATTAAATTTTGCTTAATGCTTTAATATACAAGTCCTAATTTAAAAACAAAATAAAATGTTTATTCCATTTAGACCAACAAAAAAACTAATCAGTGAAAGAAGATGCTATAAAGTACATCTTTAAAAGAGAATGTTTAATAGTTAATTCTAGATTAACTTATTCGCATTACTCTAAATCTGTTGGAATTGTATTTCAGAATCTGCAGTCATCATGACAATAAAAGTTAATTCAGTCTCAGAAAGGAATCAATAGATTCATTAGTCATTTCTATTTTGATTCCTTGTTTTATTAAATATATCTTGAGTCTCTTCTGTCACTGAAAAGCTTTGGACAAATTTCAATTAAGATATCTATCTCCAGACTCACAATCCTTAAAGGTGTTTTATCTTAAATATTATTACATGAAAACTTGACAAAATTTTATTAATGATAGAAATTGTTTATTAAGAGTACACTGAGGTTGAGTAAAACAAAAAAAGGAAAGTTCAATAAAATTCTAGCTTTCTGGGGTTCAACTATTTGCGCCTTAGATCACACATTTAAAGGATAAAAGTAAGTATCTTATTTAATGACACTATTTGGTTATCAAGAACCCATAGGTGAGCATTTAGGGCATCTTTGTCATTTACCCCAACATTTGCATTGTTCTTTAAGAAAGACATTATAATCTAACTAAATAACAGATCAAGAAAACTGTTCTTGCTCACGCTGCTGAGGCATGTCTCAACCAATGCATGACAAATTTTGGCATTATGCTTTAGAAAAACAGATCTTTTAATATTTAGCTCAAAGTGTCCACTGTCTAGTAGCTGTCAGTTTTCAACTGGGTGTCCTGGTGTGTCTATTGCTCACATCGAAAAGATTAACAAGTTTCCCCTCCAATGACTTACTAGTTGCACACAGGAATAGAGTTTTGGAAGATGTACCTGCGTCCTCGAACCAGCAGTCTGGAGGCTTTTCCTAGTAATTCAACTGCCTGTCGTAAGCGTTCCTCATTCTAAAGGAATCAAAGAAAAAGAAATGTTGGCTGCATTAATGTCAAAATCTTTTCATCCCTCAACACTCTATAAATAAGTAATGGCATTGAATCGGGAGCGGGGGGAGGGACATCAAAGCTGCTAGTCCATTTCACTACTCTCTAATAGAAAAAGAAAAGAGTTCAGTTGTGAGCATGAAACATTTTTAAAGTACCCACTGGATTTCTCTTGTTCTATATATTATGAATTTAAACAAAGTAATTAAAAAAATAAATTCAAACTTACTTCAAATACATTAGCTGTCTGTTGATACAACTGTACAGCCTTTTCTGGATCTACGTTTTCTATAAGCCTGAATTAGACAGGAAAATTGAAGTTAGTGAGAGACAGAAAACTTGTTTTTTCAAAGGACTTTATTAAAACATCTATGCAGAGACTGACGCCTCTAAGAGTAGTTCCACACACTCACTTTCCAGCTCGCTCCAATGCCATGGCCGCTGTGTCAGGGGTACCATTTTCTAGATACATCATGCTGGCTTTCTCAATCAGTTGAACAGCCTCTGGTAGTCTCTGCATCTCCTTTGGGCAAAGGATATAGCACAGATCAGAAAATGCATCAATTTAAGAAATACAGGGCAGGGCTCGGTCACTCAGCCTGTAATCCCAGCACTTTGGGAGGCTGAGGCGAGTGGATTGCCTGAGCCCGCGGATTTGAGACCAGCCTGGGCAACTTGGAGAGACCTCATCTCTGCAATAAGTCGAAAATTAGTCGGGCATGGTAGTGTGTGCCTATAGTTCCAGTTACTTGGAACGCTTAGGTGGAAAGATCACCAGAGCCCAGCAGGTCGAAGCTGGAGTGGCCGTGAGTGTGCCACCGCACTCCAGCCTGGGCGACAGAATGAGACTTCGACTCAAAAAAGAAAAAAGAAAGAAATACAGAGTTAGCAATCTGAAATGCAATTATATCATCCCTAATTATGAAAATAAATGATTCAAAACATTTTATAAAAATGAATATTTTGAAAAAGAAAGGCTTTCACATGATTACTCTCCCAGTCAAGCTTCATTTAACCAAACCAAAAATGTACCAGATAATTTCTACACCAAATTCAGCACCACTTCACAGGCATTCAGACAAACTATACAAATAGTAGAAACCCCAAACCTTGCTCTTTACTGTTTTCTAAGCATTTGCAATTCTTTAAACATTTACTGAGTCCCTAACACATATGAGGCCTATGCCAAACATCACGAACTGGTAGCTCAAGGGCTGTAGCTCATTTCCAAGTGAGTTTTGCTTGAACCACAGTATTTTTCAGATACTTTCACAAAAAATTCTGTTTTATGGCTTCCTTTAAAAAAAACAAATGAAAAGCTATAGCAACAGCAGGTCTGCATTCCCACGTGACAAAAATAAGCTGGGGCTGAGCACCAGCTATCCCTGTTAGCTGAGACATGCCACCTCCTGAAACTGACTGCCTTTCTCCCAAGCCCGGCTCCCACCTGCCCTACACAGCCACAGCTGCCTTGTTCATTTCAGCTATTCCCCTATACCCTGAGTTTGCCACCTTGTTCTATGCCTGGGTGTAATCAACAGAATAAATTCCGTGTCTTCCTATTAATCTCTAAGTCTCAGGATCCTGTAGAACTAATATCTCCAACAAATAAGAAATGTTAAAAAATAAACTAAAACCAAATTTTTAAGAATCATTTAAAAGCTAGTTAAAAAGTTTACAGAACTTATTTATTTAGGATTGACTTGTATCTTAAAGCAGGCTCCACCACTGACAACTCATGGGTTGTTTTCAATCTGTCTAGTTCCTCACTAAGCTGACAAATTCATTAGGGTATCTCTAACAAAATTTCTGGTCTCATTTTCACCAACTCCGAAACATAAAATAGACTAAAGATACCATATGAAATAAACTTGCTGTCATTCACTCAAATGAGATCATATGTTAATATAGCCCCAAAGCTCACCGAAAAAAATAAAAACAAAGGCCAAAGAGAGAATCCAAGCCTAAGCATGTGCTGAAGGATAAACAGGGGCGGTAAACCTAACAAAAGTTATTTCCTTCCCTTAGTTCTGTGAATCATTCTGACTTTTACACAAATACAGTTGGTCCTTGAACAACACAGGTTTGAACCATAGGGTCCACTTAAATGCAGATTTTCTTCCCCTCTGCCACTGGAGACAGCAAAACCAAGCCCTTCTCTTCCTCCTCTTCAGCCAATGCAAGGAGAAGATGATGACAAAGGTGAAGACCTTCACAATGATCTACTTCCCCTAAATGAATAGTAAATACATTTTCTTTTCCTTATAACCTTCTTAGTAACATTTTATTTTCCCTAGTTTATTTTACTATAAGACTACAATATATAATACATATTACACACAACACACGTGTTAACCTACTTCATGTTACTGGTAAGGCTTCCAGTCAACAGTAAAGTTTTGGGGAAGTCAGAAGTTATATGCAGCTTTTCGAGCATATGAGCAGGGGTTAACACCCCAAGCTTTACATTTTTCAAGAGCAACTGTATTTCTTCCCTTAATTCACCTATCCACTAATTAAATGTACACTGAGCATCAACAACATAGAAGCATGTGGGAAGATAAAAAGAAATAACACAGGGTCTATCCTTCATGTCTTTCACCTAGTAGATAAGAGGTACACAGCACTAACTACAGCAGAAGGCAGGAAGAAATGAGTGCCACCTGAGTCATGTTTAAAATATAACAACTGCAGCACCCTGCTTTTGTATCACGTCAAGTGAGCCTGTGACTAACAGAGGTTTAACCATAGATCTGATACTTCTCCACAGACAGTGATAAGCTGCCTACTTAAAAGTCATACCATCCACTATAAATACGTCCATTTTCAATGGCTTATGTGCCTGTGGAACAAACAGAATATGAAATTCAACAGCCTAAACACATTAGAACCAGAGGTTAATCCAACAAGTCCCCATGGCTTCCCTTGTGCCTCCATCTACAAACTGTCATTTCCTAAGTCTTGCTGGAAAATAAATGCAAAGATCTGTATGACAAAATCTTAGCCCACAGAATTAACTGTGGACCATATAGCTCGGAACTCCTAATGCTGCCTAGGACTATCAAAAAGCATTTAATTTGAATACAAGACCATGCCAGAAAACACTTGCCTTCATCTGTTTCCCTAGCCATTAAGTTTATTTTTTCTTCATTCAATGTAGTGTCTTTCCAACCCTCAAAATAAACAGATATCTGAGCAACAGAAATAATGCCTGATTAATAACTTCAGTTGAAGACTCAAGTCTTATCACAGCTGCTGGAGTATAAACTGAGGGTGTAAGAATTATAGTATTCTAGCATTGCTGTACAAAGACAGTATATCCTAACAATAGGCACAAGGTATAAAAGAGGAAACTGAGGCAGAAGGCCAGAGAGACGCCTGGCTTCTGTGGCTATAAGAAAAACTCAAGTTGCTAAGGATTTGCTGCTAATATCCTAACTTGCATCACCAAATATCATTCAGTTGCATGTTTGGTCAGAAAAACTTTATTTCAATGTGTGTATAACAGTGTTATCCTTATGATAAGGAAGCACCATAATTTATTTAAACATTTTCTTATCATTAAAAATGTACATGATGGACATTTTTTCAATGAACACCCTTATGATTAAGTCTTTGTTATCTCTTTATTTCTTTGTGACAGATTCAGGGAACTTGAATTCCTAGGTCAAAACCAATGAAAACTTGAGAACTAAGCATGTTGATAGCTATCACCAACATCTTTTAATCTTTCCAATGTTTCTGAAATGTTCCACAATGATCATGCATTCACTGAAAAAAACCTCTGTAAATTCACATTATAAAAGTCACAAAAATTCAAAAGCTTTAATTTACAAAGCCAGTAATAAATAATTCAAAACAGCTTTTATCATATTAGAAAACACATATAAAATTTGGAAGAAAAATACTGTATTTCCATTGCAACCTGACATAAAGTGTCATAAAGTAATATTTTCTGTCTTACCACAACAGGATATTAATTCCTAATCTGTTTTTAAGAAGCAGAAATATGAAAAGTGGCATGGGTACATTAGTCAGAAAATTCCATTCAAAAAGAATCAGTTAAAACAGCAAAAGCTTAAGTCTGTGGTTTTCCTCACTGCCAACTAATATTTATAAAACAAGAAAAAATATCTAATTTTTACAATCCATGAATTTTTTTTAAAAACCTGTAAATTTTTACTACATTAAGATGTCCTTAAGTTCTCAAAAGTAGGGAAACATGCCATAGCATTCTATTTTTAGCAATATATAGCTGTCTTAGTTACGGAGCTTAGAACTTTGCTGTTCCCAGTTCCCGTCAATACATTTTATCTTAAATTTCATTTTTAACACTCCCTATCTAAAGACACAGAATGCACTCTATGGGTCCAATTAGTGTTACTCTGAACAGAAAATCTTAACTTAGCCTCTTTTACCTTGTAGCAAGGAGGCTTTCCAACCTCAGCATAAATTCTACTTTAACACCTTGTAGTTAATTCATTTTACCTACCCAACAGTCGTGACACAACAGTATTACTGACCTTCAACATCATGCCAGCTTGCTCATAAGCTCTGCAAAGAGAACATCATTTCTCTGATGAGATCTTAATGAAAATAAAGGGGAGGAAGAACTTTCTGGTGAGGGAAATAACTTTAATTAAAATTGGTTCATGCACAACATATCACTTTAGCCTTATATTATCACCCAGTATAATTTTTTCTTTTTATTTTCATGGGCAATAATGCCTTAGGAATATCAGACATTTTAGTTGAAGGAATTTTGTTTTGCAGATGCAAAATTAAGTAAGGCTCAGAAAGGTTAAATTGCTTTCCATTAGAAAAACTTAAATCTAAGTTTTTTTAAAAATAAATACTATCCACAAAAAATAAAAAAGCTCCTGCTTCTCTTCCACAGTCACTATTAACAAGAAAGAGGGAAAAGAGAGATTCTAACTTGTTTTTCATAGGCCACTAAGCAAAATGGTCCAGAAAATAATGTAGAATTTAATGTAAACATGGTATATCTTATAGTTAGAAGTGACTTAGTTTTTAAGGTTCAGGTTAAAATGGTAGCAAATGAAAATGATTATTTATTTAAATCAATATAAAATAATTCATTCTTTATGAATATATAACTTGGGAAAAATTTACTGACCTACAGAAAAACAGCAACATTTAAAATATACTCTGTAAATATATGAAAACATGGAGAATATCTACTTACTTGGCAGCATGAAAAAGACTGAATGATGTAACAAAGTCAAAATTAAGGAAAAAAAAAAAGGAACAGTAGTTTTTAGAGATCCACTATTTAAAAGACAGTTAACTAAATCACTGACACAGTTGGTTCTGAAAGACAAATCCTACAAATAGGTAAAGAAGAAATAATTCAGTGCCTGTTGTTATCTCTTAAAACTACAAAATTCACAAAAACACTGACAAAGCATCACACAGATTTCAAACTATTTCTATTTTGCATTAAGTTGAAGATTTTTACTACAATGCAAAGTTATTATGACTACAATTTGCAAGTAAGATAAACTTATTTTTAACCAGTAAGTTTCAAAACAGCTCAGGAAATGTATTGTTTTAAACTACATATAAATCTTATTTCAAATACATAAGAAAGACTGCATTGTTTAAAAGTTGACACAGCACTTTAAACATTTTCAATAACTGTGCTGCTACTACATACTTCAGCAAGTTATCTATAGATTTTCCTGGCTTCACCTCATGCAAATCCATCATCAAGGAAAACCACAAACAACAGAGAATAAATTCTCAAATGTAGCTCTGCAAACTAGTGTGGACCTTAATGTCAAATGTCACTAGATATGGTCCTTCAGAGTTCAAAAATGCAGAATTTTTCTAATCACTTTCTAATTTAAAAGTATTTCACTTCATGGGTAGGAAATGCATAACAAGAGAAAATAAATAAAATAAAATAAAAATAAATTTAAAAAACAAGAGAAAATAAACTGTCAAAATTATTTAATTTCTTTTTAAAGGTTGAAAAAGATACGCCCTATTATTTTCATGGGCAACAGCTTCCCTCAGGCAGGCATCTTTTGCTTGCTCAAACTGTTTGGCATTTTTAAAAGCAACAGCTGAAACAGAAAAAAAATAGACTTTCTATTTTCATCATTTAAAACCTCAAATGAATCATTACTGAAATCCACATTTTATATGAAGTATTACAACACATACTTATTTCAATCAAATACTTAGGAAGTTTCATAAAACTATAAAATATGACTTTTTTCTAAAGCAATTTCCTTCCCCTTTACTGATTATCAAAAATTCATGGGTATTTTCAAAAGTTTTCATTTTTAATTTGTTGGATTATTGGCAACAAATCAGTGCTACTTCCAATCAAAATCAAGAAGTCTTTCTAACACCAACACATCCAAGTACTCCCAAAGACAGACAGGTTCTTTAGTCACAAAAGATAGCACCTTATTTCACCAGTTTTACATGTAACAATAATAAAAACAGTGCTTTAATTATAGCTCGTTAAATTATTTAGGAACTAACGACCAATAAACACATTGAACAGTCGTATAATAAACCTTCCCTTTTGGCACAATGTTTATTTTTTTTTAATTTTTTTAATTTTTATTTTAAAGATGCAGGGTGAAATTCAGAGTTAGGTATAGAAACGGTCATTGTACAGGTAAAGTTTGGCCCTCACTTTGGTTCCCACTTCATCTGGTGGCACAATCTTTAAATAAATGTCTAACAATTAATTTTTTTAAAAAAGCTTTTATACTGTTTAGGAGTCTATGAAAAAGATATTTCGCTCTTCAAGGAGCTAAAGTATATTGCCAGCTGTTTTAAAGACGCAATAATTAAAGCAAAACAATTCAGAGTGGCTTTAAAATATGGTCTTGTATATTTTGGAAAACTTACCAAGGGCTGCTTACAAAAAAGTAAAAAATCATAGTGCTCTAAAAAAAGTGTAATTTTTTTAAAACACTCTTAAAATTATCTTTAATAATAAAATGTTGAAAACAAACAAGACACTGAAACTATCCTCCCCACTTTTTCATATTCTGTTAAAAAAAATTTTTTTCTACTGATTAATATATTTTACATAAACCCATAAAGAAAATAAACAAAGGATGCATTAATGAGAAAATCTGATCTAGAGTATTTTTGAATGTAGCTCATGGTTTCAGAAGTATATAAACAAATCTGTGTCAAATTTCCCTCACAGAGGAAGCTTGCAAAATTTGTATCCTCCTGTTACAAAAACATCCTTGTATAAAGTTTCTACAAAATCCACACACAGGTTGAACTTTTAATAATTTTATTCTAAATATGAAAATAAACTATAAATGTGCATAACGCAAGAGAGAGAATTTACTCAGCTATGTACCCCCAACCCCACCCCATCTCTGCTGTCATGAACGACAGGTACCAGGATCTCTGACTCAGCCTTCAACACATCTGAAAATAACAAGTGGGAAAAAAATGCAAGGGCTTGGGCAGGTATATTGTTTTGTTTGTCTTGTTTTTAACTATTAAAGCCTTACAGAACACGTAAGAGTAAGTATCATGCTGAGATGAAGTTATCAGACTATTTTAAGATTATACACTGAAGCAAGAGGACAACAGTCACAAGTACCTGCTTTTCCATATTCAGATGCGGCGCTGTCATAATCTGGCTTCCATTTTAAAAAACCAGTTTTCAGGCTAGAATGAAAGGAAGACACATGTAACAGAAATTACCAACCGCATTTATAAGTCAGATCCTGCTTGTAATGACCTTGTAGGCCATCTTTTTTAAAAAGGAAGAAGCTGTCAAGCACAAACTCTCTCCCACCTCTGTCCAAGTTTATGCATAGCAAACACAGCCTCACCTCTTTCCCACTCACTGTCACAGATGTGGGTTTCCTTCTAGAGGTTTTCACTTCATGGTCCCCACACCAGCAGGATCAGCAGTATTACCTGGGAACTTCATTGTTGACCCCACCCCACACCAACACAACTTCCCAGGTTTGACAAGCCCAAAGGTGCATTAAAGTTTGAGAACCTCTGAAGCACAGTGTTGTTAACAGTCAGATTGGTGAGACTGAAGCTCAGAAGAGGGGCCAGGGACATAAATGGAAGAGTCATGAGGATATGCCACACCAAGAGCACAGATAAGATCCCCTAGGAGATTGCAGAGGCGTGCTAGAAAGGCTCAGGAATAAACACATTCAGTGGAACAACAGAGGCAGAGGCAAAAAAGGGTGAGAGTTAGCCACCACAAACAGGAAAGATAACCAGAAAGAGATACTTTGAAAATGAAGAGGAAACTGTCTTCTGGGATCACTACTGACTTCTCAGATGCCAAATCAAAGGACAATCAATTTTGAATTCGTATCTTGACCTTTCTATAATACTTTATTTTACTTCTTTCTTAATTTAAAATAGTTTCAGGCTTAATTTAAAAGAATTCAGTGCCTGTCAAATTTGAATGTACATAAGAATTGCTAAACACTATCGCAAATCCTAGATTTCAATCCAATTAGTGAAAGCCTGCTTACATGTAACACTATTTCCTTCAAATGAATCAAGGGAGCAACTTAATTGAAAGATGGGGAATCCCTAAAGGCCTTTAGACATACTCTTCATTTTGTGACAGCTGTGTGAACTGTCAAAAAGCCCTAAATCTTAATTAACATTTTTGGTCAATTAAACTTCTACAAGATTCAAATTTGTATAAGCAATTTTTCAAGCTTACAAAGTATTTCATTGCTTAGAGAAATAAAATCTTTAAATTGTAGTGTGTGTGTATTCTAGCCCACAAAATTGAGGAACTATAGAATAAAGCAAAATTCTCATCTCCTACCCCTACCCCAAAACACCCACTACATCCTGTATATGAGCATAATTTTTAAAATCTCACCAAAACTAAAATACTGATACAATAATTCAATTGTCTCAAGCACCATACATGGAAATACCCAGATATTTAAAATACAGCAAATCACCTCCAGTCAACTGAACACCATCAGGTAGGAAGAAAGAAGGCAGTTTAGCTTAGATTTAGTAGTTATACCTGTTACTGCTTCTGATTCTTTTTGTCCAAAAAGTCAATAAGGAAACTGACCTATTTCCATAGAACAAAAGAAAACAGCACAACTACCATCTGCGTGGAGGCTATTAATTTACAAAACAACTTGGCAATACTGAACTACATCATCACCAGAAAACAGAAAAATCAAATCTCTCCTAAGCTTCTGGCCCATTTTTTCCAACACCCACTGAACAACTCTGTCTAGAGGCATTTCAAATGAACATTTGCAGCCTGAACCCAACACCTCCCTGTGCCAGCTCCAGCCACTAATTGTGCCCATTCATCTGTATCCCCAACCTTGGCTGAAGGCCTCTCCCAAGTTAGAAGACTAGGAGGCAAGCCTTCACCTCCATATCCTAGCAGCTCATTAAAGTTTGTCAATGTTATTGACAAATGTCGTCCAATCCTTCTCCTTGTACTGTTACTTGAATCCAGGTCATCACATCCTCTTCCATTAAATCAACAACCTACAGACCTGTCTCAAAACACTCTCATAGGAGTGTCACCTTTCCTGCTCTGTTGTTTTCTTCCATTCTCCCCACTGTGGGGATACTAACTTTGCTTTGTTTCTCCACCGTATCTACTGACTGCTTCTATTCTAGCATCAGATACCTTATTTTTACTCATCTGTTCACTTGTCTTGGCCTCCTGTGAATTCTAAGCTCTTGAGGAGAGGACCACTTTCGGTCACCCCAGTATTCCCAGTGGCTGTCACAGATACACAAGGACAACTTCGTAAATGTTCACTTACTACATATACCACAGTTCTCCCACCCCACAGAGCATTCTCCACATCTGCCACATCTATTCGGCCAGACACAAATCTAACCAGGTACACTAGTGATTCGATGCTTAGAAAAGCTAAGGTTCAAGTCAACCTGAGAAGCTGCCCCTTCACAGTCTGGCAACTCGTCTTTGCTCTAGTTCATCCCCCAGCACTGCAACTACACCCCACAATGTCCCTGAGCACATTTTCAGGCCTGTGGACATACTACATCCTGTGTGCACAGGCTCTCTCTCACACGATTTTCTCTCCATGTAAAAAATGTCCTTATTTTGCAGTCCCTGCTCCAACAGCACTTCTATGAAACCTTCCCAAATTTTCTCAAGCAGAATAAACTTCTCTCTCCGTGTGACCAAAGCACAGTTCAAACAGCTTTCCTGCGGTCCTTACTTACTCCACACCCTATCCTAATTCCACTTTTGGGGTGCGCCCCACTATAAAGCAAGACGGTGCTGGGAACTCCCACCCCGGACGGGGGGAGCCCCAGACCCTCCCACACCACTTGCAAGACAGGGTCACAACAGAAAAGGCCTGAGTCTTTCTACCGTTTGGAAACGGGCTCCGCCACCTTTCGACGGCGTCTCCGTGGGCAAGTCATTGTGAGGCTTCCCTGGGCCTCACTTCCTCTTATGGGAAATGACAGCCTCCACCTGGAAAGTTGTCGTGAAGACCTCAGGTGATGAGATTGGGTACCACAGCGTAGGGTGTGAACTTTTCATCATTGATCACTGCCAGATAAGAATTCATTGGAGCCAGAATTCTGGGGGAAGGAGGGGTGACCAGACGGTGGACTCAGGAGCTTCGGTTCCGTTCCAGCGCTGGCTGGGCCGGAAGGTGGCAGACAAAACCAAAAAGGGGGCTAAGCACGGAGCTGCTCCCAGGGGCAATAAGATGGCAGGGGACACGGCTCACCGAGGCATATCCAGGGTACACCTACGGTCCCCGTCACGACATACGGGTCTCCCCCAGAGCAGGGGTTCTCAATGGGACGGCACTGTCCCCGGGGGGACAATTCCGGGCTGTCACGCGAGGGGGAGGAGGGGAAAGTGCCATCTGGATCGGGCAGGTAGATAGCAGGGATGCCGCTGAAAAGCCTACGAGGTACAGGACGGTCCCCCACCTCCGTCCCCCAAGCACCTGCTCCAGAGGGCCCAAGCCGGGAAGCCCCTTCGGAGGACAAGCAGCGCCACAGCGCCGGAGGCCCCACCGGAGCCCAGACCCGGCGCGCGGGGGACTTCAGGCGGGCGAGACAACTTCGCCTCCCGCGGGGCGGCGGCCGCGGCCCTCGGACCCCGACGCTCGCCGAGGTCCCGACAGCCTCGCGG